CACTTATGTCTAAATTCTAAAATTCTGATCCACTTAAGTTGCAGTTAACAAAATTGGCTCCCACTAAGCAAGTATTTTTAATTCTAATGTTTTCAAAATTTTAGTTTCGATTATCCACCTTCATCTTAACTAATAAAAATAATGAATTTGACCCACATTATACCAACTTTTCATCAATGGATGTGAGGCGAACTAAAAATTACAAAAATTCAATGATCCTTCTATTATCCTTGATGCTATTAATAAGAGTTAGTGCTAATTCTTCATTTTCTTCAGAGGAAAAATCTTTTTTGTTGAAGTCATGATCTTTTAATTTTTTTAAGACATCTGTGATTTATTTGATATTATTTCTAACAACAGGCAATTTTTATTCCTTATAACGTTGTTTTAAATTCTCTCCTTGTTGTAAGATTTTTGATTCTAATTGCCTCTGATTCCCCATGTCTGATAGATATCCAATGCAGTCCAAAACTTACTCCTTTCGAAATATATCCAATATAGCCCCAAAGATTTTTATATCTACATCTTTTACTTAAACAAAGATATCAGCTAGAGCTTCCTTCACTTAAAAAGAGCCTTGCATTTTATTTTTTATTTTTAATAATGAATTTCTATTACTCTAACTTTAATTTATATCCTGTAAAATCTATAAAACATCTTGGGTATTTTTGTTAATTAGAAGCTTAGACTTTGCGGAGATTTTGAATTGATGATAGAAAAGATTAATTTTTGAATAATATAGAATATCTTTATATTTTATTTTGTATTTTTATTAGTGTATAATTTGAGTTCCATGATTGATTAATTCATTTTTGTTGATCATCTCTGTTTAAGCATAAATAATGATTTCAGTTAACAATTAAAATTTTTGTGTTTTTTCTTTAAAATACATTTAGATAAGTTAAATCATGAGTAAGAGAGTTAAAGTTAAAAAATTAGATTTTTACTAAGTTGTAATAATAAATAAGAGTAGTTTGTGCTAGTATTTTCTTGAATGGCATTATTGTCTCCCTTTACCTCCAATAGCATATGGATTAGGCTAATCCTTATTCCAGTTGAGGTTATAAAGAAGAGAGAAAGTAGATGAGGAGGAGTAAGTTTAAGGAGAAGATGAAGGAGGAGAAAAATGAGGAATTAAAATTATCTGAAGAATATAAAAATTATATTCATTAAGAAGATTAAAGTTCTAAATTAAGAAATAATAATTTATGGAATACTTGTAATATTAATTCATGTTTATTAAATTATATTTCTATTAATAAAGAATTAAAAAATAGTTATAAACCTTAATTATTAAAATTATTGAAAAATTAATCATTGTTAAATAATTGATGTATTACAATTTTGAATATTTAACACAAAAATTCATAAAACTATATTTTATTGATTCACTTTCATTTATGGATTTGTATAGCTACTAACAATTTTTGATTCCTTTTTTCAATCTTTAAATTAGTCAATTTTAAATCTTTGGTAATTTTTTATTTAACTGATTTGATGAGTTCATCTAAAGAATACAGTTTTTCAAAGCTATGAAGTGATGAGGGATACTTTTTTTGACTAAATATTAATTAATTTAGTGAAAATCATCTTGAAGGTAACAGTGATTATATAGTTCTGACACTATAAAAAGCTGTGTAATAATTTCAGGGATTTATAAATGTTTATTATATATAGATATTGAATATTATTTTTAAAAGCTGCTCCTCTCAATTTATGTAAGAATTCACATAGAGCTTAAGAAAAGATATAATTATTAACTCCTTTAATCTTAATCCTTTTATGTAATAAACTACTTATTAATGATTAATTTAACTTTCAGTCTCTTTAAAAATCTTATACTTTTAATATAAATTAACAGATAATAATAAAGGTCATGAAAATATTACCAAGAATATCTTGTTTCTCATCTTTGTTATAAAAAATATCTTTTACTATTTATGAACTAATATTACAAAATTGTTAAGACTAATCCAGTTTATAAATAGTAATAAATTAAGTAAATCTATCATATAATATCCTAGATGTATGATAAACGAATGTTGTGTTAATGAAGTTTTCTTTAAGTAATTATTTCAATTTTTATTTTAATATCTTCAATTTCCTTATTGTTCTCTGTTTAAATTATTAATTAAAAATAGTATCATTTAAATTTAAATCTCTATCAAGCAAAATTAACATTTTTAAAGATATTTAAATAAATAATCGCTATACTAAATTGATAGTATATTTGAATAATAATAAAATAAATAAAGTGTATAAATGATTAAAATGGAAAAAAAACTTAGAAAAATAAGAGCTTACCTAGCTTTAAAAGTGAAGATTAAGAGTGAAACTAATAAAGACAGAATAAAAATAAAAATATTAGATATTGATTGTAATTATAATTGTTGTTTGATAATGATCAAAATCACTGTTTCTATAAGTCTTCTAAAAAGCAACTTCCTTTAGATTTAAATAAAGGTTTCAAATTTTTTCCATAATGGTTTATAAATTCTCCATATAAGATAAGTGTACATGATGCTTCTAATATAGGATTCTAGCACATTTTAAGTATTGTATGATTAGAATTAACTAAATAAAAATAAATAATAAATACCATTTGGTAATAATTAGCTATTCTAAAGTGGTATTTTAAATTAGGTAAGAATATCTTTATATTTTTTGTCGGCTGATGAAATTTCTTTTCCATTCTTAATATCCCATAAACGGATAGACTTATCTCTACTACCAAAAGCTAATGTATTTCCATCAGGAGAGAAACAGACTGACAGTACCCAATTATCATGACCATCTAATTTGGCCTTTTATTATCCTGTTTTGACATCCCATACACGGATAGAGTTATCACGACTACCAAAAACTAATGTATTTCCATCAGGAAAAATACAGAATGACCAGACAGCTTCATCATGACCATCCAATTAATA